TGGTTTCTCGGACATAACTTAGTTTTACATGAGTGTTTTGCTAAGTAAGTTTGTACTGTCCCTTTAAATCCCGGTGAATTGCGCTTGAAACAGTCAGGGGTGAATCTCAGGGATGGTTGGGCTTGTAAACATGTCTTGTTGCGATGACAGCATCGGTCTCGTGTCGACAGACCTGTCAGTGACCGCTCACTAGCGCCTGGACGACAGCGCTTCACGAGCGACTGCCTCAGCCCTCGGGCGGCTCCGATCCGTTCACATTTCTCTCACGCAACGCCTCATAAAGCACAATCTATAGTGTAATGTCATGGGACAAGTACCAAGATAAAGAGAGCGCAGAAACAAGCACATCTCCAGCCCCGCGGCCACACCTGACGCGCCGTGTTTCACAGCCAAACCAGCTGCGCGCGGGATAATAACCAGTCAAAGAACTAATAAAACACATTTCCATTATGCGCTTCGTGCTTTGTGTGGATCTAAAGCGTTTCATTGTTGTTTATGATCACCCTTTTCTGCCGTTTTCACCAGAACATTCCTGTTTTAAGCGTGATTTAACAGCATGTTCGTTCAGAAATTGCTGTTATGGATCATAAAGCACGACTGTAAATAATATATTATACATTTCTGGTACATCTGGCAGCCAGAAAGAGTAATAAAACATGCTGGTTCCCAAAATACACTTTATTTTACGGTGTCCGTGTTACAGTGGAATTTATAATAATAATCTTTATTTTATATAGTGCCTTTAAAAGTAGGATCTCAAAGCACTTTACATAAAAATAATGAGGTTAAAAGACACACATAACAGTTATGAAAGCCACAGAATAAACACTTTAAAAGATAATTGCGACTTTTATCTCACATTTGCGAGTTTATATCATGCAATTTTGACTTTATGTCACACAATGTCAGAATTACGTGATTAAAAAGTCAAAATTTTATTTTTTATTCTGGCGGAAACAAGCTTCCATTGTAATTATACATTTAAGGTAAACTACATGTACTTGCTATAGGGTTATAGTTAGGATTAGGGTTTGGTTGAGGGTTAATTGCATGTAATTAAGAACAATTCATAGTAATTACTATAGTAATATACAACATCTGTAACAAAGCACTGTAAAATAAAGTGTTACTAAATCCTTCTACAGAAAATACTTATTTCATCATAAAAAAAACTTTATTATCAATTGTATGTTCTCACAAATCCTCACATTTTCACTGTAATCAGTGTTAGTTAAAAAAATAAAACTATAAAAAAATAATTGTAATTAATTCAAATAAAGCTGAAATAAAATAAAATACACTTAAATGTAAAAAATACTCAAATGAAAATGAAATTTAAATGGAAAATAAAATAAGTTGAAGTGCTAATATTACTAAAACTAAACATGAAATAAAAATAAAGCTAACTAGAAATATTAGCTAACTAGAAATAAAATAATAATAAATAAACTAGAAATAAAAATAAAGCTAACTAGAAATATTTAGCTAACTAGAAATAAAATAATAATAAATAAACAAGAAATAAAAATAAAGCTAACTAGAAATATTTAGCTAACTAGAAATAAAATAATAATAAATAAACTAAAAATAAAATAAAGCTAACTAGAAATATTTAGCTAACTAGAAATAAAATAATAATAAACTAGAAATAAAATAATAATAAACTAGAAATAAAATAAAGCTAACTAGAAATATTTAGCTAACTAGAAATAAAATAATAATAAATAAACTAGAAATAAAATAAAGCTAACTAGAAATATTTAGCTAACTAGAAATAAAATAATAATAAATAAACTAGAAATAAAATAAAACGAACTAGAAATATTTAGCTAACTAGAAATAAAATAATAATAAATAAACTTGAAATAAAAATAAAGCTAACTAGAAATATTTAGCTAACTAGAAATAAAATAATAATAAACTAGAAATAAAATAAAGCTAACTAGAAATATTTAGCTAACTAGAAAAAAATAATAATAAATAAACTAGAAATAAAATAAAACTAACTAGAAATATTTAGCTAACTAGAAATAAAATAATAATAAATAAACTAGAAATAAAAATAAAGCTGACTAGAAATATTTAGCTAACTAGAAATAAAATAATAATAAACTAGAAATAAAGTAAAGCTAACTAGAAATTAAAAACAACTAGAACTACTAGTAGAAATGACAAAAGCTGAAAAAAATACAATTAAAATGAAAATATAAAAACAAAAGCTTTAATAATACTACTATATTAATAACACTGACTATAACACATGATCAACACCCAGTGCCAGGCGTTATATCATGTAATCAAATGCATTTCATTTTAAAGGTGTAACCATGAATAGGTAAATATTTTCATGTGTTTGCATTATTACAGTTATTATGAAAAGATATAGAGCATTATAATGTGCACAAGCCCTCATACAGCGGCTTCATGTAGACGTGTTACTAAAACTCCCTCAAATACTTCCATAGGGATGATGGGTGCAGGAAATGATGTCAGGAATCACACACATTCAAACTAGTACTATTGATGATCAGATTCTCAACGAGACGGCGAGAGATAAAGTGTGTGTGTGATTGTCACAGTAACGTTCAGGACAAACGGCTGTCCTACATTCATCAGGCCTGTAGACACACACACACACACACACACCAGCATGTGGGATATCTCTCGTGCGGGCCATCGCTCGCGCCGCTCACACACTTCCACTTCAGCTGAGTGTGTGTGTAGCTTAAGGCATTCAACATGCACATATATGATGGAGAAGCCAGAGAAACACACACACACACACACACTGGAGAATCATTAGTATGAGGAGAGAGGAGAGGGGCAGAGAGATGAATTATTTAACGCAACGGCAACGAAATGAATAAACAAACAGATGAAGCGAGAGATGGCAGCGCCCCCACTACACCCCCGCCTGACAACAAACATCTTCCTGCTACCGTATCCACACACACACACACACACACACACACACACACTCTCTCTCACCAACACAGTCTAGAGTATATTGACAAAATCTGATGCACATCACAGGAAGACTGAATAATAACTGTCTAGTTTTTATAATATGATGGCAGGTTATTTTCATTTATATGCTATACGTACATTAGGGCTGTCGATTTAACACGTTAATTAAATTAATTAGTTATGGGGAAAAATAACGTGTTAAAATAATTAACGCACCCGCCCCCCGTATAGTTCATCTTACATTTCGTATAGTTGATGGTGACGAACATGAAGCAGAACAACAGCTCACTGTGTGTTGGAGCCTATAATACAGTTAGAACGACCCTAAAATTCAAGATATAAGGGCAAAAATGCCCCAGTATGAGTTTTTGTCTCATATTTATTTCATATGATCAAGCAATGTCACACGAGTGCCGTTTTTGTTCCTAGTGCAAAAGTGATGTTGATTTTATACAACAGTTCAATAAGTAGTTAATATTGTGTTTTATTTTAGACACTACTGTCTGATTTTGCTCGATTTTGCCAAAGAAAATTGTACCTATAAAGCTTTGTTAGTGTTTGAGCGATTCAATTGGGCAAACCAATGATTCAGTGACTCGTTCAAAAAGAGAGCCATTTACATCATTCCTGAATGAATCAGCCGTTTAAACGAAACGAATCAATGAACGATTACGATTCAATGACTCGTTCATAAAGAGAGCCATTTACATTATTCCTGAATGAATCAGCCGTTTAAACGAAACGAAATCAATGAACGATTCAATGACTCGTTCATAAAGAGAGCCATTTACATCATTCCTGAATGAATCAGCCGTTTAAACGAAACGAATCAATGAATGATTCAATGACTCGTTCATAAAGAGAGCCATTTACATTATTCCTGAATGAATCAGCCATTTAAACAAATCGAATGAATAAACGATTCAATGACTCGTTCATAAAGAGAGCCATTGACATCATTCCTGAATGAATAAGTCCGACATTGAAGTGAACCGCTGTTTCTGTCTCTCTGCTGAGGAAGACGTCATTCACTTGTTTTGGCAATGTCCCCACACAGAGAAATTTTGGTCAGATTTGTTAATTTTTATCCAAACCTATTTTGTAAGTGACTTTTCTTTCTGTTTTAAAGATGTTTTCTTTGGTTTGTTTGACTACTCAAAAGAGAAAACAGGACAATATTACATAATTAATTTGTGTTTCCTTCTAGCTAAATTTCACATACATAAGCAAAAATTTACTGGAACTAAACCTCTCTTTTCTCTATTCAAAGATGATCTAGACAGATACATGAAACTATCCAAAGCTCTGTTAATCCCAAAGCAATGAAAACTGTATCTCTATATTCATCCTTTATGTCCTCTTAAGGTGAATGCACTGCATTCTTGTTTTTATGTTACCCTGGCATCTTATTTGTGTCTGTGTATATTGTTGTCATTTTTGTTTTATTTTTTCCATGTTTGTATGTATTGCTTTAATGGTTTGTAATGTTTAATAAAAAAAAAATAATAAAAAAATTAAAAAATCATTCCTGAATGAATCAGCCATTTAAACAAATCGAATGAATAAACGATTCAATGACTCGTTCATAAAGAGAGCCATTGACATCATTCCTGAATGAATCAGCCGTTTAAACGAATCGAATGAATGAACGATTCAATGACTCGTTCATAAAGAGAGCCATTTACATCGTTCCTGATGAATCAGCTGTTTAAACGAATCGAATGAATGAACGATTCAATGACTCGTTCATAAAGAGAGCATTTACATCATTCCTAAATGAATCAGCCGTTTAAACGAATCGAATCAATGAACGATTCAATGACTTCAGACATTTACCGCCACCTACTGGCAGCTTTAGTCTCTTATTTAGAGTATTGCTTCTTTAAAAAAATTATTTCATATCATATTCTTTCCATATAAATAAAACATTTACGGTATGGTCATCATTTATTCCTCCTCATGGCCGTTGAAGCCTGAACGTTTGTGTAATAAATTCTATGTTGAATCAAATAAAATGTTTTTTTTCTACTTACTGTAATGTCTATTTGATGCTTTTCTCATTTAACACTAAAGGCATCAACAAAAATGTAGACTGCTTTCATCAGGTCGCCTGCCTTCTTTTGGCCAAATTCAGGCCACATGTGTCCGTCACAGATAAGGCAATCCCAGAATGCACTGCAATAACCACTGTGGAAAAAATTACATAAGATTGTTGACAGAGTCGAGGGAAATTGTAGTTTTAATACATTCAGTGCTGAAAAGTCAAATAAATAGTTTATCCATACTGTGAAATTCAAATGCAACTTCAAGTGTGTGTGAAGTTTTCAAAGTGTAGTTTTTCCAATTCGGCTACTTCCATTGCTGTAAGGATGCTGTATTTAGCAGCTTTATATAGCAGATGCTGAATAACAACAACACTTCTGTTTTAATGACACAGACAAGGAAACTCTTGCAATGTCTTGGACTTGAGTAGAGCAAGCAGTGTTTTGGTTTCATATAAATATATTAGTGCTGGGCAACGATTAATCACATCCAAAATAACAGTTTGTGTAATATGTGTGTTGTATATAATCATTTTGTATATATAAATAATACACACACACACCCTGCATCTATATATTTAAGAAAAATGTGTTATTTATATATAAAATATAAGACTTAAGATTGAGCCACTGTAGTCACTCTGACTATTTTAACAATGTCTTTAATAACTTTTGGGCCGGCCAGTTTCGATCCTTAAGAAGCCTATGGAGGAGTGATCCAGCTCTCAGATTTAATAAAAAATATCTTCATTTGTGTTGAAGATGAACGAAAGTCTTACGGGGTTGAACAACATGAGGAGAGTCAGTCTGGGGTTTGTGGTTTTGAGGACTGAGACTGGTGTTTGGACAGAGCTTAGCTAACTGGCTGAGCGAGTGAATCTTGGGTTGTAAACACAGCTAATTAAACAGGGTTATTTAACATTTTGCGTCTTCATTTGTCCTCTTCTGTCTCAATCGAGTCCCAACACGCGCCTCAATTAACCTGAACGTCTAAATGCCACGGGATCGTCTTCATCCTCGCTGCTGTGTCCTGTGGATTCAGCACTCGAAGGCAAACAAAAGACCAGCGCTGAGGAGAAAGACGTGTTGGAGTGTGTGTGTGTGTGTGTGAGATCTGTTTGGAAAGGACATGGAGTTGAATCACTCATCTCTCTCGATGCCAACGGCTCCCCGGGAGATGTGCGACGGCCAGCCTGGCAGAAATGTGTCTAATGTGAGATAAGGTGGCACTCAAACTGAGAATAACTCAGCGCTCGCTCTTTGCTCTTCACATCAAGGCAGGAGGGGAAGATGGCGGTCATAAAGAGAAGAAAGAAAGACTGAAACACAAGCCGCTTGAGTACAGAGACAGAGAGAGAGAGAGAGAGAGAGAATTGGATTGAGGGACACACAATGTGAGAAAGAAAGGAAGGAAGGAAAGAGGGAGGGAGGAAAAAAGAAAGAAAGAAAGAAAGAAAGAAAGAAAGAAAGAAAGAAAGAAAGAAAGAAAGAAAGAAAGAAAGAAAGAAAGAAGAAGGAAGAAGGAAGGAAGGAAGTGAGAAGGAAGGAAGGAAAGAAAGAAAGAAAGAAAGAAAGAAAGAAGTAAGGAAAGAAGAAGGAAGGAAGGAAGGAAGAAGAAGGAAGGAAGGAAGGAAGGAAGAAAAGAAAAAGGAAGGAAGGAAGAAAGAAAGAAAGAAAGAAAGAAAGAAAAGAAAGAAAGAAAGAAAGAAAGAAAGAAAGAAAGAAGAAGGAAGAAGAAGAAGGAAGGAAAGAAAGAAGAAGGAAGAAGGAAAGAAAGAAAGAAAGAAAGAAAGAAAGAAAGAAAGAAAGAAAGAAAGAAAGAAAGAAAGAAAGAAGAAAGAAAGAAAGAAAGAAAGAAAGAAAGAAAGAAAGAAAGAAGAAAGAAAGAAAGAAAGAAAGAAAGAAAAGAAAGAAAGAAAGAAAGAAAGAAGAAAGAAGAAGGGAAGTGAAGGAAGAAAGAAGAAGGAAGGAAAGAGGAAGAAAGGAAGGAAGGAAGGAAGGAAGGAGGAAAGGAGGGGAGGGAGGAAGGAAGGAAAGAGGGAGGGAGGGGAGGAGGGAGGGAGGGAGGAAGGAAAGAGGGAGGGAGGAAGGAGGGAGGGAGGAAGAAGGAATAGGGAGGGAGGAGGAGGAGGGAGGAGGGAGGAAGGAAAGAGGGAGGGAGGAAGGAAGGAAGGAAGGAAAGAGGGAGGGAGGAAGGAAATAGGAGGGAGGAAGGAAGGAAGAAGGAAGGAAAGAGGGGAGGGAAGGAGGGAGGGAGGAAGGAAGGAAGAAGGAAGGAAGGAAAGAAGGAAGGAAGGGAAAGAGGGAGGAGGGAGGAAGGGGAGGAGGAAGGAAGGAAGGGAGGGAGGAAGGAAGGAAGGGAGGGAGGAAGGAAGGAAGGAAAGAGTGGAGGGAGGAAGGAAGGAAGAAGGAAAGAGGAGGAAGGAAGGAAGGAAGGAAGGAAG